ACTGCAGCTGGAGCTCTGGGACTATCCCACCTCGCTGGGTCCTAGAGCCTGGGCTCCAGCCTTAGCCTGAATGTCTACACCGCAATTAAACAACCCCCTAGTCTGAATCCCTTTCCCTGAGTCAGCTGGCATGGGCCAGCCGTGGGTGTCTAATGCAGTGTAGACATACCTGGTGAGGATTAGGTAATTACAGAAGATGGCAAGTGATAGCACAGGAACATGGGAATTGCCACAGTGGGTCAGACTAGTGATCCACCTACCCCAGGGGCCAGTATCAGATGTCCTGAAAGCCCACAGTGGATAGTGCTGGAATAACTTGCCCCTGGGGCATTTCCTCTTGACCCCATTACTTAGCGGTGATTCATGCCCAGGAGCAGGAGGGTGCCTGACCTTTGTGACTGTGTCTCCTCTCTCACATAGAGGTGCGCAGGGTGAATTATGAGGCAGATTGAGGCTTTAGTGTGGGATGTTTCCAAATGTTGTGTTAAAGTTTATGAACATTGATAAATGAAAGGTGTCCATGGACCAATGGAGAGACAAGGTAGGGGAGGGAATAGCTTCTGTTGGTGAGAGAGACAAGGGACCACCTCAAACGAGGAACCCTCTCGTGCTCCACACACTGGAAGAATGCAGACGTCAAAGGACTAATGACATTGCCGTGTTCAGTACGGAGCCGGCCTGGCCCGGGTACAGCTTCAGAAGAGCAAAGGAAAGACACATGATCTTCAGACTGTGCTGTGAACAATCTCAAGTGTCACTTCCCCTTCCTTGGCCTGCGTGTTCCTTCCCAGGCTGAGTGTGCGGCCTGGGCAGGTGGCTTAGTCATGCTCCTTGGGATCGCTGCGCCTTTGGCTGGGGTGTGTGAGGAGAAGCTGAGTGAGAGCCCTTCCCAAGGCAGCCTGTGCCAGTGACAGGAGATTCCACCTTGCTATTGTAAATGCAGTGCCTGGCTGGGGCCTTGCTGATATTCGGGGGCGCTGCCGCTTCCATTTTTCATTCTTTTCTTTGCCAGAGGCTTTGCCCCCACGGGCTGTGTGCTCAGGGCCACATTGTGTAATCGGTGGCCCCTTGCCTGGACTCCTGTACTCTCTGCCCATCTTACCCTTGGGGTGAGCTGCCCCCGGTATGCCTGAGCCAGGTGCAATGTGCTAGTGCTGCACTAGCCTGGCCCGTGGACAGGAGGTGCCTGAGGAGATGAGGAAGGAGGGTGGTCTTGTGAGTCCCTTTGGAACTGCTGGGTGCTTTGCTCTGACATGGGGCCTGGTTCAGTCTGGAGCAAGCAGACGCATCTCCCCTACGCTCTAGCCCCTTGGTGTGTAATCCGCACTCGTTCTGCAGCTCTGCTCACTGGCCAATCATCCTGCTGCTTACGTCACTGCGGTATGTGCCCTGTGTGCACAGCTGAGAGCTGGGCTGGCAGCTCCAGGGCTGCACCTAGTTATCATAAAATAGAGCAAATTGCAGCCGCTCTCATCATCAGAGCAGAGGTGCGGCTGGCGTAGGTGACGGGTTCCAGCGTGCCTTGCTGGCTCTCTTGCCAGGAGGCAGAAGTAGGAGAGGGAGCAGTCATGTGTGGTACACGTGTGCAGAGTTGCTGGTTGGGGTGTCAAATCCAGCACAGAGAATAAACCTTCAATTATCCCCCCGCTGCACAGACCTAGGGCGGGCGCTGCAGGAGGAGGCTGATGAAGGCTCCAATGTTGTGGCAGTTGGCAGGATGCTGGGGGCAGGGTGAACACAGTGGTGAAGCCAAGCTGTGGGTTTTTGGCCTGGTAACCCTCTCAACATGTGACAAGAGTTCTCGTGGGTCTTTGCCATGCTGCATGTGCTGTGGGCGGGTGTCCCGGGCTCCTTGTGTCTGTCTGTATGAGCGTGTGCCCATGTGGCTGGCCCGCACTGGGAGAAGACATGTTTCACCAGCTCCTTCCCTGGCAGCACTTGGCAGAGCCTGGGGGCCGGAGCTCACCATCGACAAGCTGCTTCTCTTTCTCTTGCCTTGTCCTGGTTTTGCCAGCTGGGCTCCAGATTCCCCTCACCCATGAGCTCTGGACTCGCTAGGCCGAAGGAGCTGTTAAAGGGCGAGGGGTCAAAGGAAAAGCACTTTGTACGTCAATAGCTGGTCCTTGAGGCAGGGACCGCAGCAGGGAGCATGCCATTGCTGTGCCTAAATAAGGGCCTCGCAGGCTGGAATTGCTCTTGGGCTTGTCTGCATTTGAAAAGTCATTCGGATTAAGGGAGGGTGTTAATTTAAAATGCAATAGATATTGCTGAATAACTCCAAGTGTGGACAAGCCCTTACTCTGTTGCTGGTTTCAGGAGTCAGAGGAAAGGTGCTCAGTACTTAGAATCATAGAATAGCAGGGTTGGAAGAGACCTCAGGAGGTCATCTAGTCCAACCCCCTACTCAAAGTTTAAATCATTAATACTTAAATAAAAGGAAGGCAGTGTTGGTCTAGTGGTGGAGTGAGATTCGAGACTCCTGGCTTCTATTCTAGCTTTGCCATTTCGGGCAACTCCCATCTCTGCTCTGTGCCTCAGTGTCCCTATCTGTGAAATGGGTCTAACAGTTCCTGTCCACAGCAAGGCAGTGCAGATTAATGGTAGCAGCTAGTAGGAGGCATGGAAGGCACTCTGGAGGGACAAAATGCTGCTGCTGGTGCTCTCCAGTGTTGACCCAGCATTGATTGACATCCCTGGGCCTCCTGATGTCTCTTTTCTGTTTGGCAAGCGCTGGGTTTTGGCTTTGTGTGTTAGCTGTGCCTTGAAATGGGTCTGAAATCACCCTGCTCTTTGTCCTCCCTCGTGTGGGCGCTCTCCTTAGTGTGCAGCCCGGATTCACCTTATAACTGTTGTACAGCCAGAAGGGGGAGCTCAGGAACCCAGCACAATGGTGTGTGTGTGTGTGTGTGTGTGTGTGTGTGTGTGTGTGTGTGT